TTTGCATCATTAGAAAAGTCGGTTGCTACTTCGTTTTCATTTTTGCATACTTTGACTACATCTGAACCAATTTGTTCAAATATTTCTGATACATTCTCTGTATCAAACACTTCAAGGGCAGGCATGTCCTTGATTTCTTGTCCTGAAACATAGACAAATATAGTAATTCCAGAATGTTGGAATACATCGACAATGATTTTGGAAACTTCTTCCCAATTCATTTTATCTAAGCCACAAGCAATTTTGGGCATTGCGATAGATCGAATGTTATTTGCTATAGCATGATCTTTCATTTCTGACAAGGTATTGAATATAGCGTCGTAAGTGGGTTTCTGAAAGTACCTCTGTTTGGTAATCAGGTTATATATGATTTGTCCAGATTTTGGATCAGTGAAGATGAGAAAATCGTTAATGTTAGCATGTATTGAGTTACAAAAGTGTCGTAGCTCAGGATACCTTTTGCTAATTGATTCAGCAAATCCTTTTTTCATTGCTCTATCTGCAGAGATTGTATCGGCAATGGGCATATTCGATTCGAATATGGACCTTTTTTTTGAAGTCTACATATTGTAGACAGGGGCCGGATAATTGAGTATTGCTTTCCTGTGTTGTATTGACAACAGTGTTCAGCATGAAACAGCTATCGAATTCTGAACTTTCATTTAAAATTCTCGTTGTGAACTCATCACAATTGTGGATAGCAAATATTTTATCCTCGTATCCTTGAATATCAGTTACTGCATAGCCTAGTACACACTTGTTTAGTGTGACAGGATGATCTTTCTGATTCTCAATTAGGATAGGCTTTGCTCAATTTGAGTACAAACTGTATTAATGAAAACCAATTCGGTTTTGGTTGTACTTTTATGAGGCAGGAATGTAGTCCCTTTTTCGAAGTATGAAATTGGTTCAGCCAAGTGTTTGTATAAGTATGTAGAGCGTGCTGGAATGAACAAGGGTTCTTTCAAGTTAATTGAGACAATTTTTGAAACGTTAGGATATTCTTTATCGTTGTTCATCAACCCGTAGGATATTACACCTTCTTTTGATTTGAGCTCAACTGCAGGGATATCAAAGTAGAGAGCTTTTAAGAAGAGATGACAAAAGTCTACTCCTAACAGATTAGCAGTCTTTTCTTCAGTTATCCACACTTTGTGGTTAGATGGGTATTTTCCATCAGTGTCGAAACAAGATTGAATAGATGTATGGCCAAACATACGTATATCAGATCCATTATAAGTCTTTGCTTTATTTTTGGATCGGTAAATTGTCATTTTTTGACCTAATTTTTCCAATTCCTGATAAGTTGGGTAGTTTATGATACTACAAGTTGATCCTGGATCAATCATGAATTCAATTTCAAGTCCACTATTATTATTTTTGTCTCCGGTGGCAAAATGATATAAGCTAAGATATATCCTTGATTTAGGATTACTATCATCGCTTGGTTTCGGAGACTTTAATAGTTTAAAGGAAAGAAATCAGTGATAGCATCACAGTAATTGACTTCTTCCTCAACCCAGTGGGTAGTTTCAGACTGTATTTGATTCGATCTAAAATTTGGTGATTGAGATCGCGTTGAGTCTCGACTGTTATTGCTATTATAGCTTCCAGTGTTATATGGTCGACCTCTAGGGTTACTATTGAATTGCCTATTTTCTTGGTCGTAGAACTGTTTAGCAACTTGTTCATTTTCTCTGAATTTGTTTTCTCTGGGATACCTATCATCATAGGTTTGGGGTCTTTTGTTATTGAAAGACGATTGTGCATTAGCCTTTTGGAAATTGTTTCTGTTATAGTTATAATTATGGCGAATGCCATAGTTATTTTGGCTAGGATTTGAATTGTTAGTAGTTCTGTTTTGGTTATCCCAAAACCGGTTACTTGGGTTAGGGAAGTTATTCGGTCTTCGATTTCGTTTATAATCAGTTTCAAATGAAACTCTTCGTTCATTTTTTGTTGTGAGCTCATTCCGCAACTTATTTACTTCGTCCTGAACTTGCTTTTTTGAACATCTAGATATAGAATGTCCATTCATTCTACAATATTCGCAGAATCGTGTACTATTAGGTCTTCCCTTGATGTCAGGGTGACGTCGTTGAAATGAAGTCTGGTCATTGATTGCACTAACTTCTTGATTCTTGATCAATTTAGTTAGTTCTTTAATTTGAGTTTCTAATGAAGTCATTTTATCCGTTGTTGACTTATTAGCAGGATCAGTAGCAACAATGAATGTTAGATCCTTAGTGATTACATGATTTGTGAATTGATCCCAATTGGCATTTGGATGCTCTATCATGTATTCATGAGCTTTTTGTTTAAGGGCTAGAGGTCTTAGTCCCTTAATTGAGAAATCGATATACTTTTGACTTCTTTGTCTGGTTTGTATAGTTCTCTCAGCATTTTGAGCAGCTTCATCAACATGAACTGTTACATCAATACTTTCGGGCCATCCTCTATCTACAGAAGATTTAATTCTGTGGAAGTAATTTTTTATTAATTCGCCATCTTGGCGAGCTGCATTTTCAGCATCAATTCTATGTTTGAATTGATCTCGTCCGTCAGTGAATCTGTTTAGGAAGAGATCTTTGAGTTGTGCCCATGTGGTAGCATTGGTTACATTATCATTGAACCATTCAAGAGATGTGTCAGTTAACAATGATCCGAATAGGGATCGTTGTCTGCTATCATAGCTGCGTCGTGCATCATTATCAGCAGGTCTTTGACCTAATGAGAAAAGAATTTTGTTTTCAACTGAATTCCAAAAAGCTGTAGAATTTTGTTCGGATCGTTTCCCGAAAATGTCATTAAAGACAAGTTGGGATGGGATATTGGGGTATCAGCCATTTTATATTCAGTTTAGAACTTAAAAAGAAAGATAGAAAAATTTATAAATTTATTTAGAAAACTTAAATTTCCGATTTGGAAATTTATTACTTCTCTTTATTTGTAAGAGAAATTTCAACAATTCTCCAGTTTGAGAATTGGAATCTTTGCTTTTTTATCTCTTTTTGAGACTTAAGCAATTTTTGCGAATTTTTAGAAGGTGAGCCTCACTGGTCGCACCAATTTATTACGCTAGCAAAAACTATATACGTCGGACAAACCGCTTGCTAGGAATAAAGGGTCCTTTCTACTTTCCATCTTAGAAAGTAAATCTAAAATTCGCTGATAAATATTTTATTAGAAAAGAAGTTAGTATGAATTTACAGCAAGTTGCCTTTTGACTCAATATCTATTTTAACGGTGAGATTAGATATATTTTTACTGAGAGTAGATATTATTTTAGAGATTGGTTGGGGGTGGTTGAAGAGAGTGGTGTTGGTGTTAGAAGAGATATTGTTGGGAATGAATTCCCGTAGTTTTGAGCTTCTATTTATACTCAGATGGGGAAATCACGCCACTTTTCGTATCAAATGAGAAGTTACTTCTTAACTTCGTATTCTCTATTCGTACATTCGTATTTTACGAGAAGAAGGTTTTGTATGCTCGTATTTTACGAGAGGAATCGTTAATATTCGCTTTGAATGAGAATAGTCGTTTCAATTCTCAATGCTTAAAACGTTATACGAATTATTCCAATAGCATTTCCCTTCCTTTTGCAAGTGAATAAAAACATATTTCTTTTGTGGTGGCGGCGGCGTCACATTTTGTGAACGCAATAAAATAATTCATGTTTCTGTTTCTATTTGAAATCAGAAGAGTTATTACTAAGCAAATTGAAATACTTGTAACAATTGAAGAAACAGTATTCAATAATTTAATACACAAAGCAAGAAATCCGACGAAAGTTAGAATGAAATCCATTAAGCCGACGAAAATTCAACTGTGAAAAAGTTCCTAGTATCAAACATTGGATCCAAACGTTAAATTTGAATTTTCATGAAATTGAGCATGTCAGCAGCATTGCTGCAAAAGATTCAACTGATTTAATTGAACTAGTTGTTAACCCGAAAATTCTATATTCCGATTTGATAACGCTTGCTTTCAAAATATTTAGATTATAAGATCATTAAAAAAGGAAGTCATTTAAAAAAGTGGAGAACAGTCTAGCTTTAGAAATCATCTGCGTTCCATATTTACCTATTTGACAGAAGCCTATTGAGGTACTTCACAAAAATCTATGACTTTCGACAATTTATTGAACTCTTAGGTTAAGAAACTATATATCAGAGCTATGATTGAGCTAAAATTGAAAATTACTATTTCCAGAAGCTCTTCGACATAAAAACTATTGCACCTTCTCTTTAGCACCGTGCGAGATGAAACAGGTAAACAATAAACAAATGAAGGCTCTTTTTAGTGCCACCCTCTTTAAACATTTAAAGGAGTTCATTTTCTGAACTTGGCAAACAAATGATTAACAAAATTCTCCTTCAAATCAATCGTCGAGTCTCTTTTAGGGTATGCTGTTTCCTGTATTTTAGGGAAGGAAAGCATGATAAGAGCGTTCATGCCAATGGCGACAGTACAATTCTGCAAAGCCTAGACTAGATGCATATTTTCATCATAAACAATATTCATCAACAACAAACAAAAAAGCGAAAATAAACTAATGAATTAAAAGAGCCTGGATAAACAAGCCACTGTTTGCAAGAACAGCCTCATTACATAAACAAACTTAGCAACATTCAGCTATATATAATTGGATCTTGTTAACTTAACTAAGCAAATTTCAGGTCCCCCTATAAAAAACCCTATGCACCGGTTAAACATTAAAACACCTTGCAAATAATTTCTTCCCTTTTCCAATAGGATTGATACCTTTTTAACAAGATCCTTTTGATTTGTACATATTTTAAAGTTTTTAACTCCTTTTCCGTACCCTCGGTCTTTGAGTACAATCCGGCATTCCTTACCTCTTAACTTGTCAAATAGCATTCGGAATCGTATTAATCCGAAAAAGATAATATCAATTCAATCGACTATTACAGATCTTCATGGTTTGAAAATGATTACTACGAAACAATAGATACGAATACGATTATTTTCAAGCCATTTTTCGTTTTAAGTGGTGAGTTGCGGATGGAGTGGGAGACTTGGTACACTGAAAGGAGTCCCTTAAACTTGTGACATATATACACATCATTTTAGCCAGCATATTTACAACTTACACATTTAATTACAAGGGAGATGAGACGAGAAGAGGCGCTGCGGCACTAGTATGTTCCGTAGTTGCCGTCAGCCCTCCTTCCTAGCTGTTTCAACTCCTTCTCTAAACTGAGAATCTTCACATTTCTCATGTTCAGTTCATTGATCAGGTGTCGCTCACGCTTCGCCATCGGGTTCAACAGGGGGTGCGCCACTAATGACGCCGCCGAGACCCGCTTTTCAGGATCGAAGTCCATCAGTTGGTTCAAAATCACGTTCACTTCCGCACTGCAGTGCAAAAGCGGAGGGTATTTCCCTTCACGCAAAGTGTGCCATGTTACACCGTTCGGATGCGGCTTCTCTTGGCTGCTTCCAGGTGCTATAAAACCGGCAGCTCCTTCGTAAACAGTAAGTCCGAGAGAGAACATGTCAGCTCTGCTTAGAAACACGCCTCTGTCCTGCATTATTTCTGACGCCATGTACCTAAAAGAGAACAACTGCCTGTAGGCAAGAAAATAGAACAGCTCAGGCAACGAGAGCCTTTTTTCATTTCACAAGTGATCGAGGTCATTTCAGTCGTGACTAGCGTGTAACACACCTCCGGTGCTTCGAATTTTTGAGAACTCATGAAAAAACCGAAATTTGAGTGTACTCTGACAGCACTCAATAACAGGGTTCATAGTATCAAATTTTGCAGTTTTTTTTCTATCAGTTTTTTTAATTCAAATTTTGAAAAAACCATTAGACTTCGTGGAGTTTTTTTATATATATCTAAGTTCTTTGAAAAATTTTGAAATGACACAAAAAAACGTCACATCGCATTCGAAACTAAAAGCACTTGAGCAGTCGCGTTCGGACGAAAAATTGCAACCACTGGGAGTACTCTCACAGTATCCAAACACAGGTTTAAGAATTTCAAACTTTCAGAAAAAAAACTGACGAACCATGAAAATGTCACATCTCGAAAATTACAGAAATGAGCAAGCACACGCGGAGGCAATATTCGCAACCTCCTCAAATACTCTGACAGCCCCCAAACAAAGTGTTGGGAATTTCAAAATTTAAAAAAAAACACTAAATTTCAGTTTTCTGAAACTTTTTTTTCTGAATAAATCGTAAAAAAATGTTACATCTCGAGAACTACAAATAACTTGGCAGTCATATTTATAGGCAAAAGTTGAAACCCCTGAAAACACTCTGCATTCTCCCATTACAAGGAAGTGGGTTTCAAATTTCAATTAAAAAATGAAGAAAATTTAAGTTTGGTGTAAATTCTTTGAAACAAATAAAAAACGTCATATTTCAAAAACTAAGAAGATTTGAGCAGTATTATTTGGATGCAAGATTCGCAATCATATCTCCAAAAGTAAAAAGATTTGAGCAGTATAGCTGGATGCAAGATTTGCAGGCCCTGAGAATAATCTGGGAGCCCCCATTACATGCAAGGAAATCTCAAAAATTAAAAATACAAAATTTAAATTTTCTGAAAACTTACTAAAATCACAAAAAACGTCTATCTCGAAAACTTAAAAGATTTGAGTAGTCATATTTGGAGGCGAGATTCGAACACCCGATAGTATTTTGACAGCCCCCAAATACAGTGTTGGAAATTTCAAATTTTGAAAAAAAGATAAATTAAAGTTTCCTGAAAGTTTTTTGAAAAATCACAAAAAAAGTCATATCTCGAAAACTTTTAGCAGTCAATTTTGGACGCAAGATTTGGATCTTGAAATTCCTGAGAGTACCTTCACAGCACTGAATTACAAGATTGGGAATTTCAAATCTTTTGTTGAATTAATTAAAATCTAAATAAATCGAAAAGAAGTCAGCAGTCATATTCGGAGGCAAGATGCGCAATCCTTGAGAGCACTCAAAAACAACGTTGAGAATTTCAATTTTTGTAAATTGAGTTTTCCGAAAAATTTTGAATAACAAAAATCGTCGTATCTCGTACACTAAAAGGATTTGGGTATTCATAATTCCAGACCAAATTCGCAACCCTGAGGTAACTCTGACAGCATCCCACTATTGTGTTGTTAACTTTTAACTCGATGGAACAAGCACTAGATTCAAACTGGAAAATCAAAAAAAATCTTCAGCATTGCAATATACGATATAGTTTAACCACGCATAGATACGTTATTCCCTTAACTGTTGCAAAAAACGCTTAAACATGACAAGATACGTGTCACACGCATTTAAATATAGTATAGATAGATAGATTAGGATTCATAAAAAACTTAGAGATGTCATTGTTGAGATTTATCATTGATTGTCATACTTATTTGAGGCTAAGGCTGCAGCCAAAAAAATAAATACCTCATAAAAGAAGTGCTTTTATAAACAAGAGCAAAGCAAGAGAAGCAAACCAGACGCAAAGCAAGATCACAGAAACTATAGTGAAAAAAAAACACCATAAAATTTCCCACATTTATCCAATTTCATGAAAAATTGAAATCAAAGTATACCCAGAGTAAAAAAAACTCCAATCAAACAGCCGTTACAAGCAAGTAGGCATAAAATAAAATCAAACCCATTAAGTTTTTAAAAAATTAGACTCAGAGGCGAAGCTAAACACAATTTCTAACATAGAAGCGAAACTTCTTTTCGTAAACAAAAACGAGAACACGACAAAAAGCAGCTTATAAAGTGAAAAACGAAAAATTAGAAATAAGCCTCGAATTAGTAAAACTTACGTATCGGAGTCGAACCTGCTACCTCTTGGTCAAAAACGCTTAACAATAGTCAAACACTATTCACAAATAAAGCACTTACATATGCTAACAAATTGCTCCTTCATATGCTAATAAATTGCGAATGCGATGCAGCAAAAGTGGCACCAAACACAGATAGAAACAATTTTGCAAGTAATAATTTAGAATTCTGAAAGCATCCACACTCACTACCTTTGCATGTAGTAAATGGAAAACCATAATGCCACAGGTATAAATTATGCATTTCGAAAAATATCGAGATATTTGTAGCCAGTAAATTTCTGAAATCGAGTTTCTATTATTGTTATTTTGTTTGAAACAAATAGCTTTTTTCGGTTCATTTGATGAAATAAAAATGCATCAACTGCGTTAACTTATTACTATTCGAATGTTAAAGCACATGCTATCAAAAGGCTGTAAAGATGTACGAAACATGGCACCAATATTTGCGACTATGGTTAGCAAAAAAGAAGATTCGTAACAGTACACAAAGCTGACGCTATTGTGAAAACGTCCAAAAACGCTATCTAAAAAATTCTTACTTTTGTCTCAAAGGCTGTTTCATTCAAAATTAAACTCTCAAAACACAACAATCGGCTTCAAATGAAAATTCAGAAACAATAACGAGCGCCCGTTGAGCCGAAAAAAATTGCCGTGAAGACTTTGAGCTATGAAGCTCTGAAGTTCTAAATTTGACAACTTTCCACAGTTCACAAACACACAAAAAAATAAAACTTTTTTTTCTTCAAAAGACTAAAAACCAGATTAATAAGCAATTAAAAGAAAAACTCAAACTATTTAGGGGGTTAAAGCTTTTAAGCGAGAAAAAAAATATCATAAGAGTTGGTAAAAATGCAAATTACCGAAAACAATCAGAAAAAAATCATTTACAATGAAAAAATGTTTACAGCAAACGAAAAATTGGTGACGTTGCTACTAAGCCGGCGAAACAAACCGACAAACGATAGGACGATAATTTTTGAGACTTAAAACTTTCTGTTTGAAACAAGTCCAAGAGTGCCGGTTAAGCTATGAAAATCAAATTTATTATCAATCAGGCTATAAAATGGAGTTGTTAAATGAGTTGTTAACCCGACAAGTTCCTATTTGTTTTCTCTCGGATAAACTCTATATTTCGACTTGATAACTCGAGCTAACCGCTAATAATAAAAAAAACAGCTAATCAATAATAGTGAAAAAGCTGAGCAAAGCTAACATTGAGAAAGGGACTAAAAATAATAAGATGAAAATGAAACGCTCTTCAAGTAAAACCTTATAAAAACCTGATAATTTTTGATTTATACTTCTAGATTCTTTTTGATTTCTTCCCGTCTTTTTAGAATGTAGACATAAAATTTTTAAAAAAATTCATGTTTTTTTCTAGTTTTTACAAGAAAACCATGTCATTTTCATCTTTCAAAATAAATTGCCACGATCGAATCGATACACCTGATGCAATTAGAAACTAGGGGCCCAGCTGAAAGCTGGAGAGACCTGTTTGATTATTTTAATATTGATTATTTTAAAATTGTTTCAAAATTTCAGGTTTCTCAAGTCGATAGCGCCCTTCCTACGCAAAAAAAAGTGAAAGAGAAGCTTATGCATTCATTGGTAACGTTTTCGGAACCATACAACTTTTGAAGTTCCCTATTTAGAAGGACTGCCCGCGCCCGATAGACGTCGTTCTGGCGGGGGAGGAGAGATCATACAAAAATCGTACTCCCCGTTGTTCTAATACACCTTTGAGGACTAGAATTGAAGTATATAAATGATTAAAGTGAGAGGTACAGATTTTTAATGATACCTCTGAATTGATCTATGAGCGCATCAGGTGACATTTTCAATACATCATTGCTTCCACACAAGATGACAATGGTGTCGTACTGATCGATTGGCGCATGTTTTAAGTGATTTATGACCTCCCATTAAACGGGTCTTTCACAGTGCGACAAGGCAAACCGTATCAATCATGGTTACATGCTAAATATATTTAAAATAAAATCATATGCACAATGCTTCAACAATGTGAATAATTATTCACTAGAATTAAGTGAAATGTGTGTTTCACAAACCAGCTAACATTAATGAAATAAGGTATTTTTCATTTTTCTAACGACTCTTTAAATTTCGATTTAATTAAATTTTGTCCAAGCATTGCAAATATGACTATAATATGTTGACTATAACTGACATCACAAAAACGTTCTGGAACAAACCGACCTGATTAAAGAGAACTAGCGTAACTCGTGCAACTTCTCGTTGGACTTCTTCAAACCATACAAAAAAACTCAACACAAAGGCAATAGCACCAAGCAAAAGCGAGAAAACGTAAGCATAGCGGATTCCATTGTCTAAAAAATACACACAATAAGTATATTGAATCTTTGTTCCAATGCCAAAAAACTTTTAAAAAAACTTTTCCTAAGTGTACAGCTCTTCCCCGAGACAAATTAAGGACCAGCCGCTTGGGCAGGGGAGTTTCCTACAACCTGGTCTATCGATTAAACCCTTAATCCCAAATCTGGATGGGTAGTTTTTGAGGAAATCGATAATTTCCAAAAAAAAGGCCAAAAAGTCAAAAAAGTGACTTTTCCTAAGTCTATAGCTCTTCCCCTAGGCAAGTTAAGGACCAGCCGCTTGTGCGGGGGAGTTTCCTACAACCTGGTCTATCGATTAAACCCTTAATTCCAAATCTGGATGGGTAGTTTTTGAAGAAATCGATAATTTCCGAAAAAATAGGCAAAAAAATCAAAAAAGTGACTTTTCCTAAGTCTATAGCTCTTCCCCTAAGCAAATTAGGGACCAGCCGCTTGGGCAGGGAAGTTTCCTACAACCTGGTCTATCGATTAAACCCTTAATCACAAATCTGGATGGGTAGTTTTTGAACAAATCGAAAAAAGTTTAAAAAAATGGCCTAAAAACCGAAAAATTGACTATTCCTAAGTGTATAGCTCTTCCCCTAGACAAGTTAAGGACCAGCCGCTTGTGCGGGGGAGTTTCCTACAACCTGGTCTATCGATTAAACCCTTAATTCCAAATCTGGATGGGTAGTTTTTGAGGAAATCGATAATTTCCGAAAAAATAGGCAAAAAAATCAAAAAAGTGACTTTTCCTAAGTCTATAGCTCTTCCCCTAAGCAAATTAGGGACCAGCCACTTGGGCAGGGAAGTTTCCTACAACCTGGTCTATCGATTAAACCCTTAATCCCAAATCTGGATGGGTAGTTTTTGAAGAAATCGAAAAAGTTTTTAAAAAAATGGCCTAAAAACCGAAAAATTGACTATTCCTAAGTGTATAGCTCTTCCCCTAGACAAATTAGAGACAAACCGTTTGTGTAGGGGGGGTTCCTACAACCTGGTCTATCGATTAAACCCTTAATCCCAAATCTGGACGGGTAGTTTTTGAGAAAATCGGAAAGATTTGAAAAAAGGCCAAAAAAGTGACTTTTCCTAAGTCTATAGCTCTTCCCCTAGGCAAGTTAAGGACCAGCCGCTTGTGCGGGGGAGTTTCCTACAACCTGGTCTATCGATTAAACCCTTAATTCCAAATCTGGATGGGTAGTTTTTGAGGAAATCGATAATTTCCGAAAAAATAGGCAAAAAAATCAAAAAAGTGACTTTTCCTAAGTCTATAGCTCTTCCCCTAAGCAAATTAGGGACCAGCCGCTTGTGCATGGGAGTTTCCTACAACCTGGTCTATCGATTAAACCCTTAATCCCAAATCTGGTCGGGTAGTTTTTGAGGAAATCGAAAATTTCCGAAAAAATTGGCAAAAAGTGAAAGGAAGTACCGAGTTGTGAAGCTTTTCTAAGACCGTAGGGGGTGGGGTAGGGTAAAAATTGGCCTAAATTTCATGCAGGCAGGTAGGTGAAACGCTACTGAATCCATTGGTACCACTTTTATGAGAATCTGACGGGTAGTTTTTTGGGAAAGCGAATTTTTCGAAAAAGCGTCTCAAAAAAAAAAAAAAAAAAAAAAAAAAAAACCAGATCTCATCTGAAAAAAAAAACGTTTTCATAATACCTGTTTAATAAATCAAACAAGAATTACGAAGCAAAGTATTTGAGATAAATTAGCCGACCATTAACGAAAAGAAAACAAGCCAAAAAAGTGCGCCAGCGCAAAGAAAAACTCAGAATACAAAATTTTGGATGTCAGTTACCGCCTCCAAAGCAATACCCATGAACGCATTTCTAATTCAAAGATCATTGAATTCTTCTCGATAGCTGGAAAGCGACTGTGTCAAACCAAACAAATTGAGGCTAAATAAAATGATTGAGTATGGGAAAATTGACTTGCTTTTTATTTGAGTTTACATGTGAACAACTATTTTTATGATTTAAAAGGTGCTTTTTTGCTCTAACATTGCCACCCCGTTGCTCGTGAAAACTTTTGCAAAAACAGCAGATACAAATTTGGTACTTAGTAGCCTTTTACTACCTAAAGTTCGTATAGTAGAAGGAGGTGGAGCTTACCTGAAGTCTCCTCCTTCGACGTCACCTTTATGTTTCGTTCTATCGCTCCACTGGGCCAGTCCCAGGTCTCCCAACTTGTAGATGGGCAGTCCCTGCCTCAGACAGGTTTCCGCGTCAAAGGGAGCCTCTTCATGCTCTGACACAAACTCGTTCACCAGCCACGGCGACTCTCGATTAGTCATGGGAAGAGAGATATTCACAAACACATTGCCGGGCTTCACATCCATATGTGCAATTCCTAACAACAACACACCCCAATGACATCCTCCACTGTTACACACACGACACACCCCCTGACACATGCCCCTGGATATATGTATGGTTGAAATTTTCTCAATAGTTAATGCCCCACACATTATTCATAATATCTTTTTCAGTCAAAACTGCTCCATTTTACGACACAAACCAATGGTTCACTCATTTCAAAACCTTAACACAACTAAATTGGCCAGGAGCATCGATATCGCCAATAAACCTGTGACTACCCACACTAACAAGGGGACCAAGTAGGGTAAGCAGGTTGCTGACACTCCTCTCACAAATTCTACACCCTCGCCACCTAATAACCACCTTTTTCCACCTCATTTACCAAAATCTATTTCAATAGAAAAACTCTTTAAGCACAAATCTGAAATGTGAGACTTTTTCAGCACCGATACTTGTGGAGAAAACTTAACTTCTACTCAGCACAATCATGCAATAGTGCTGATTTAAATTATCCGGACACAATGAACAAAACTTGAAGTTTCAAACACGTTTTTCTCAAGTTGGGTTTAAATTAGACAAAAAGTGATGAGAACAAAAGCTGCTTAGAATGTCACCAGAGTTAATATGGTGCAATGTTTTCTCCGAAACTCTCAACCAAAATTTCACCCCAAAAATGGGTCATTTTGGCTTTTTTTAATTAATTAAGAATTACGCTGAAACTACTGAGTTAATAGATTAAAAAATTATATCTAAAGAAGTCTCTTAGATAGCCCAACAAAGTTTTATAAGGTAAAGCTTCCACACCTTTGCGAGAAATGTTTGAAATTTGTTTTTAAGCAAAGATTTTGATTTTATAGTAATTTTAGAAGACTTATGCTGAAACTACTTAATGAGTAAAATTTATCACAAGAAGCCTCTTACACAGCCCAACAAAGTTCTAGAAGGGTTAAATCTCCAAAAACCTGTATAAAAGAAAATAATTTTGCTTGATAGTCAAGAAACATGATTTTTACTATACAAAACTTAAATCTTTGATTAAAAACAAATTTTAAACAATTTATTCCATTTTTTGGAGATTTATTCCTTCTAGAACTTTGTTGGGCTGTGTAAGAGGCTTCTTGTGATATATATTACTCATCAATTAACAAAATATTTTCAGCATATTTCTTGATTAATTGAAAAAAGCCAACATTACCCATTTTTGGGGTAAAACTTTGGTTGAGAATTTTCGAGAAAAAATTTCATCATATTAATTCTAATGGAATTCTTAGCAACTTTTGTTCTCTTCACTTTTTGTCTAATCCAAATTTGAGAAAAACGTGTTTGAAAATTCAAGATTTGTTCGTTTCGTCCGGATAATTTAAATCAGCACTGTAATAATGATGTACACAGAGGCAAAGCTGCGCTTCGCAAACACTAGCGAGAACACGACAAAAGCAGCTCTATGAAGTGCACTGAGAAACATTAGAACTGAGCCTCGAATTAGTAGAAATTCGGCCACGTCTCCGATTCGATCTGCGAGCAAGAGATTATGAGTATTACAAACGGTTACGTAGCAGTATTTGGACAACCACGTATTCACACTCGTCAGTAAGCAGACAAATATTATCAGAATCGAGACAAGGAAAAAATTAATAATTATTTATATCTTAAGTTTTCTTTCGCATCTCGATACTGATTGGGTAGGGTAATATAGTATTTGTCTGCTTACAGACGAGTGTGAATACGCGGTTGTCTAAATACAGACAGCACTCCCTCACACTAATCACTCAGCCACAGAAGCTTAATAAATCCTTAACACTAGCAAAAAAAAGCAGAGAACAGAAGCTAAGAAAATTCCAATGCTACAGATCGTGATTATCGCAAAAGTACACCAAATATGTGAACACTTTTAATGAGCACTTTTATTTGCGAGTTGGGTTGGAGAAAAGAAGCTTCGTACTAATACACTAACGCTCGCGAGTGTAAATAAGAATGATGTTATTGTTATCAACTGGTGACTGTGTGTGATAGTACTGTGAGTACCCACCCATAGCATGCATGAATTTGAGTGCCTGTGCGATGTGGAACAGCTGTTGTCTGACGTCAATCTCCTCAAACACTCTGCCCCCCATCTGTTCCCTGTTCCTCTTGTTGGCGTCCTCGAGGGAGCCCCCGTTGCAGAACTCATTCTGGATGTAGCCCATATCCCCATCATTCTCATACCAGGCCGAGAAGTACCTATCGCCACCGCCAACACAAACACATTGATTAGTGGGCGAGGCACAATGGACAACTTTATCGCACATATTAACAAACATTTGAACACTGTTGAAAAACAAATAACGCACTCAAATAAAAACAAAAGACAAGGACACAAAAAAACTGATTTCGTAAGGGTGAATCAAGCTTGCATTCAAGCAGCAAAAATAAACAGTTCAAATTAATAATAATAAAAAAAAACATTGAACCATGGCTTCCTAACAATTTTCTCAAAAGAAAAACAAAAGATTTGTCAAACAATAGCAATGTTTCATTAGGTCGACCAAATTGGTTTTCTAAGCGCTCCTAGAGTGTGTTTTGCCTGTATGTTCTTCCCCGCGCTCAATTTTATAAACAAAACCGGTCATTTTTGGGCACTTTTACAAGAACTGACCAAAAATCGCATTTTCCGACACGCACTCCCACTCAAAATTAGTTCATATGGTCACTCAAGAGGTCTTTCAACAAAATTAAGGGTCGTCCACAAGAAAATTGAACCATCTTATCTAAGCTCAGCTTCAGAGCTAGGACAAGAATTTTATGTTACGATGGGTTACTTATAGGGAAATCTAAGCTGACTTTACGAGCCAGGGAATTTCGACAAAGTTTAACGATGTGATGGACGATATTCGAAGAAGATTGTGGATTGTATGGCTGAAAAGAGAACCCAACACTTCTGCGAAGGTCCGCTTTGCAAACATTAGCAAGAAAGCGACAAGAAATGCTCAATGAAAAGAAATAAAGAAAAGGTAAAAATAAGCCTCGAAGATTTAATACCGATGGGGCGGAATCGATCCTACGACTTAGAGATTTGCGCCATATGCCCTTGAAAACTTACTAACAGTAATCACAAATGAAGCAGCAACATATACTTCGAAATTGCCAATGCTATGCAGTTGAAAAACTGAAAAAAAAACTGAAACAAAAAAAAACTAGAGGAACCAAAATGTTCGTACGTCTCAAAAAAACACTAGTGGCCCAGCTAAAACTGGAAGTAGCTGATTGCTGTTTAGTAAAAACTGTTATATTGATGCGGGACATTGGAGACATTGGAATCTTCCCAAAGAGATTACATTGTTCTGACAAAAATTTCTGGATTCGATGCTTCTGTAGGAAAGATTATCGCAACTGTTCTTTGGATTGAGCCTTTCATATCAGATTTTAGGGTAGTTTCTACGAAAAGTCAAAAAAAAGTTCTCAAAAACTGACAAAAGTTCAAAAACTTTCCGGAAACCATAACGCTTCTCTGCAAAACAAAGGTCATGGTCACTTGAGTAAAGAAAACTACCAAAACCAGTTTTCCCAATTCAACACTTATGAATTGGCAGGGTAGTTTTCGAGGAAAGTCAAAAAGAATAAAAAAACGGTCAAAAAGTAAATTATCTGACGATTCCGAGGCCAAGAACTTTGTGTTTAAAATATGAGCGCAGCTGTACTCACGCAGGAAGGGTCATATAACATCTTCTACTCATTAATCTCAGATTTGAGAGAGTAGTTTTCGGAAAAGAACCCAAAATATGGTTCAAATATCCCCCCACAGACATTTCCAAGGCTGTAGACAGAGGGGTAAGTAAAAACAGACTAGGGGAGTATGCAGGAACACAGAAGAGTAGGCGGTATTTCCATTGACACCCTCTTTAAAAATCTAATGAGTAGTTTTCTACCGAACAAAAACTTATACAAAAAAAAACAATTCTAAAGCATCTCAAAAAAAGTAGAAATAACAACCCAACCCCACAAACTTTCATAACTGATTTTGTCAAAGAGGAAATTTTGGGCATACGAAACTGTAAAATATAAGTTGACAGAGCCAATAAAAAATCAGTCGAAACCATTCAATCAAAAAACTTAGTCAAACTTAGTGTAAAAAAATTAACACAACTTAGTCAAAATTAATCGACAAGTCAAAAAAATTAATCGACAAAACTAAGAAAAGTCAAAAAAACTAGATCTACTCCAGAAACCAAAAAAATAAGACAATCAAATGTAAAAACTTACTATCGAAATATTTAACATGCGGTAAATAAATATATTTGAGCAGAAACCCTTCAAGCCGAAAATAAAAATAAAAAATTCGGAAAATTCAAAATTATTATAAAATAAAATACTCATCTCCCTCAAAACGCACACACAAAACACATAAAAATCTTCCGCTCATCAAACGATGCAATATGAGGCCAATAAGCCGATATAAAATATATAAACCTATTAAACTTTGAAAAAAATTGAAAGGAAAAAAAATAAAAAATTAAATTTCGACAAACCGAGTTGGTAAAACTACAAGCAACATAAAAACAAACTTTGAATAGGCCGTATATTTATAATGCCAACATGATCAAAATATCTGGTGCAATAGAAAAGCCTCGCGAATGAATAAGTCCAGGAGAAGTCTGTAAAAAGTCTCTTATCGCAAAGGTTATTAATTAAGCACTTCAAAAAAATGCCAGATATATTGAGTAGTAAAGTTTCTGAGACGACATTTTTGTAATTGCACTGTTGTTTTAAGCAAATAGCTTTTTCGGTTCATTTGATGAAAAATGTGTTAGCTTATTATTTATCGAATGTTAAAGCATATGCTACCAAATACTGCAAAGGTGCCCCAGAAGAAGCACAAATATTTGCGATTTAGGTTGAAAAAAGGAATAGTCGTAGTATAACACTAAGCTGGCTAATGTAAATAGAAGAAAAGCACAAAGCAACTGTGATTATTACTATTATTATTATTATAATCAAAACTAAAATGAGTCTTTCAAACCTGAAATTCAAATGTGCGTTAGGGGGAGTGGAAAATAGTCGTGTCTTCTAACCGTAAAACTCAGAAAATGTTCATGAAGAGAAACGAATGTTTACTAACAGTGACCTCTGTTTAGCAACTTCACCGGCTTAAATATTTTTACCGGTTGAACTATTTGAATCGACCTAAAAGGCATTCAAATACGCTATTGACTCCTGCAAAAATCAATTACCCTACACTCACTGCACTGGGGTGCGGGATCTCACATAGGCCGTGTGATAATTGGTTGAGGCGAAAAAAGAAGATTCACGAGTCTCATTAAGAACCCACTCTACTCATTAATCATTACCTTATTATGTATATACTTTGGCCCAACACAGCGTGAGCCCAGATTTCCTTCAGTGAGTCTCGGGGTCTCATGTTGCCTTTCTTAAAATCCAGCATCTTCACAGCATAGAACCGCCCGTCAATTTTGTTCCAAACCAAGTTCACGTCGCCAAAACTTCCTGCTCCTGAAAAAAAAACGAATTTAGCGCAACTATTCAAACCGATAGCTATTTCGCACACGAAGATACACACGCAATCGAACACATAGGCGAAGTGGAGCTTGCGATGCAACTATTTGAGCCAAAAAAAGTATGAGTATATACAAAACATTACCAACTGATCTGTCAATGAACTCAAGGAAGCCAAAAAATGACAAAATTTCTCAGCTTTTTTCAAGTTTCAAATTTAGAATAAAAACAGCTAATGGCCCAGCTGAAACTGAGATACCTGTTTGATACATTTAAAAAATATTTACTGATGCGAAAGGTAATAAGTAATTTTTGAAAATACAGAGATTATTTCAACATAGCGAATGCCCTACCAAAATTAAGAAGTAACCGATACCTAATACCTTTTCTTTCGATTGAAGCCTTAATCTTAGCCCTAACATATTCGTTTTGTCAAGTCTGTAGCGCTTTCTCTAAAAAGACGGAGGATCCGCTGATGCAGGGGAGATCCTTACAACCTGTTCGTTCGATGCAATCCTCAATCTCAGAATTGGCTGTCTAATTGTAGAAATTGAAATTCGACATTCCGCCAAAAATAGGGGGCTATTCTCAATTTGTTTACGCGCCGAATGTCAAAGAATAAAACTAAAACTGTGAATGGGAAAATCAAGAACCAAGATAAAGAAAACAAATATCGAACAGATGGGCTATTTAAGTACAAGCAAGCTCAAGCTAGCTTATGCTGGCGAATAAGTATTTGTTGTTGAAAGTTCGAGAAGACCATGTGAAAAAAGTTTTGATAAGCAAAGTTGAAGGGAAACGTCTAGTAACCGGCTGTATTACACTTGCAAATCGCCTGACTTGATATTCATTTCAAGATAAACTGAGTTAAAACATGGATTTATTTAACAATTACCCCCCTTCAAGAGAGGGGACAATTGTTATTAGCTAAATTAGTCGAACTTTCGACCTATCAGAATGCAGCAAAACTCATATTCTAACACAGAAGCGAAACTTCGCTTCGTAAACACTAACGAGAACGCGAAAAAAGCAGCTCTATAAAGTGCAAAAAAAGTAGAAATAAGCCTCGAATTAGTAAAAATTCCGCCACGTCTCGGATTCGATCTGCGACCTAGAGATTTTGAGTCGCACGCACTAACCAATCAGTCACGCACGCTTAATACATTACAAATACTAGCCACAAAAAAAGCAGAAAACAGATGCTGCGAAATTTCCGGGGCTAAATCCTGATTGTACCAAAGGTGCTACCGAATAAGTAAACACTTACACTTTCTATGAACACTTTTTAGCGTTAGTTTAGAAAAAAAGAAGGTTCGTACTAATACACTACGCTGACTGTAAAAATACAACGCTGAAGTTTTAAAATACTGCTTTTATTTATACAGTGGTGATTTAAATTATCTAGACAAAATGAACAAAATGTGAATTTTCAAACAAGTTTTTCTCAAATTGGGTCAAATTTTGACAAAAAAGTGATGAAGAAAAGACTTGCTTAGAATTGTAGCAAATTTAATATGGTTTAATTTAAGTTGCAAAATTCGGGCCCATAATTTTATTCCAAAAACGACATTTGGAATTTTTTGGTCAATTAAAAACTACGCCAAAATTATTGATTCAATTGCTGACTAAATTATTTCCATGTGAGACTTTGATTATAGCCCAACAAAATTTACAAAAAAGAAATAACTGTCTCGTTTCATAAATTAGACGATTGTGCACATTGTTTAACCGAGGCGAAGCTGAGTTTCGGATCACTTGCGATACACTAAGCCACCGACTCCTAAAAATTGACATAACGCCAAAAAATAACAGACGAAATTTTCAAACTGAAACTTTTTTGATGAAAACCTGTGGCAGATCACAATATCTAGCTTTGAACTAGCTTGAAAAAACTTCAAATTTTGCTACAATATAGTCAGTGGAAAAAAAACAGAAAACAAAAAAAGGTTGTATCGGATGAAGCTCATCAATAGCCTTTGAAAAATTAGAAATCATTCACCGAGCGGCAACAAAAGCGACAAACTTGGGGTCGAAACCTGTTGAGCGAAAACAAAATTGTAGTCAGAAAAAATCGTTAATTTTGAAACGCAATTAAACAAAAAATAACAAACTCAACTTTCGAACTTCAAATTTTTAAAACAATTTGTGATTGACACTTTTTTGATCAAATTGACCCAATTTGATGAGACTGGACCAAAAGGTATTTTTTTTATTTCGCTAGGACATCTGATAATTAAATTCCACTTTCGAAAAAAGAAGTCGATCACGTTTTTTTTTACTTTTACACTTTTCCTGTTCGATAGTGGAGTTTGCCTTTCTGTTAGGAAAGGAAACGAACTTAACTTAAAAATAAACCAAAAATCAAACCGCAAAAATAAATTTGGCCCTGAACAAATAGTTTAATACTTTTACAAAAAGAAAAACGAAGAAAAAAATAATCGCGACCTATATAAGAGTCTTCACTACGTTCATCGACTCTTCATAATTCGAGCTTTCTTTATTCATTGGAACTTATTGGAAGAGAAAAGAAATCAAAGTACCTAATCTATCCTCTTGGACAAAAGTTCTCGCATAATGACTTTCTGATACCGTCATGCACGGTCTCTGACTATATCTGGAGTGGGTCGCCCGTCTGTTGACTTCACAGAATCTCTGCACAAACAGGCCTGAATCGTCTTTGCACTCCTCTAGATCTGGACAAAAGGGGTTCTTGTTTATAACTTTGGGAAATCCGTCGATACTTTCATCCACGCCGCCACCAACACTTTGATTCATGCCACCAAGCCCCTTTCTCTTCATCTGAAATTTGGAAGTTTTCGTAGGAGCTGGTGGCGGCATTCGCTTTATGTTGTCTTCATCATTAGACGGCCGAAAAAATGGCTGTTTATTGCCCTTAGGTACTTCTGGCTTTGGTTGCACACTTCGATTCACGCCACCAATATCAAAACCTTGTTTTGCCTGAAATTTTGAAGATTTCTGAGGAGCTGCTGGAACAGGCTTTGCGACGTGTTCATCGTCAGTCAGAACAAAATCTGTTAGGTCGTCTTCCTCGTCAGACGGAGGAAAAAGTGGTGGTTTATCATCCTTAGGCACTTCTGGCTTTGGCTGCCTTCTTTGATTCCCGCCACCAAATGCAAGACCTATTTTTGTCTGAAATTTTGAAGATTTCTGAGAAGCTGCTGGCATAGGCTCCACGTCACCTTCGTCGTCAGATGGCGGGAAAAGTGGCGGCTTATCAAACTCATCCATGTCTGAATCGTGATAGCCTGGAGCAAGATCACCTTCATCTTCGTGATTGCCACCATCAGAGGACAAAGACTTCAATTCAGTAGGTGTTCCTTCATCATCAGACATCAATGACAGCTTCCCTGCGCCTCTCTCACTGTGGTTGTCGTCAGAAAGCGTTCCTCTCATTCTCTTTCTGTTCAATGGAGACTGATCGTCTGTTCCAAAACCACCCTCCTCGTCGGAACCGTTAAAACCTAACTTTCCTCCTCCTCCCGAATTTATACCAATGGCAGTTGCGTCCATATCTTGCTCTGGAGACAACCCGTCTGGCTCTTCTCCGATTTCATTCAAACTTTGCGGTGGGCCAAATTTACTCGCAGCTTGTGACCTAGTCCCCGAAACTCCTAAAAAGCTCTTAGCCTGGTGTTTTCTGGGAGTAGGTTCCACTCTATGGCTCGATCCCGGAACTGTAGGTCGACCGATATTTGACTCATATCCCAAATTTCCCAGCCTGCTCTTTACCGGCGCTTTCCTGGGTGCGGATTGCGCTCCAGGGGGTGCAGCAGCCAACCTAAATTCAACATTGGACGCACAATCACTCCAGCGCTCGTTGGGTGTTAAACATTCTAATACAACTTCCATCGAGCAGCAGGTTGCATGTTTAACACCCATGAATAAAAAAAAGAAAGACTTTATTTCTGACGAGTTAAAGCAAGTTGAACATTTATTTACAAAAAAAAACGCTTTAATTTAACCCCGAGTTTACAGCAAACGAGCCCAGTAGGATCTCAAAACGCTGCCCCAAAATAGCATTATGAAATATTTTACATTAGCCAAGGTTTACAACAATTAACTACATCTTAAAAAAAAACAAAAATTAGGATTACGAAACTATCCTAATAATTGAAGACTTCGTACAATTGGTGGATAATGGAAAAAAACTCGATTGTGTTAAATGACAGGGGTAACCAATGCGGAAAGATATGTTACAGTTACGGCCAATAAGACTGCTTTTGATCAGTTAAAAGCTAATTTTTTTGAAATCATTTTTGGTCCAAAAACTCGCTAGTCGTACAGTGCCTACTTAATCCGGCTTTTATAATGCTTTTCAACTTGTTCAATTTTATAATGTTGCTTCACATAACTGTGACAAGTTCCTATAGTCACCATAATACCAATATAATTGGAGGCTTTTTGAACAGAGCACATGCAGCAGCAAAAAGTGAACAAGTTTGAGAAGGTTCCAGTTCTCAGCAAAGAACTGAAACCACATTTCAAAAGCTTATAAAAAAACTAATCTATTGCTCGAATATATACTTACACAATTACATGTTGTAAAGCATATAAGAAAACTATAGATCATAAATAATCCATATTCAACATTTGTGAAAGAAATAAGTTTTTGGGACAAATATTTTGTTTCATGAGGGAATGGAAAAAAATTATTTGAGGACGAATGGATCAGAAAATGTTTGATATTCGTGCAGTTTCCCCTTTATCTTCGTTGTTTTGATCCTTGAATTTTTCCATTTTTTCTTTTATGGCTTCAGCGCCTTGAGAAAATTCTTGATAATTTCCCAGAATGGTTGTATCATGTGCAAATGAAATGAGTGAAAACATATTTGTGACGGCTTCGCTGTTAACTTATCGGCTTTGTTTAGTTCTGTTTAATTCCTAATGACATATTGTTACTTTCGGCAGTTTCTAGCCGGTACTTTTCCGCTAGCCGCATTACAACTTGGTGAAAGATACTAAAGAGACAATGCGAAGAGCACCCTTTACGTAAACCTCTGTATGGCTGCCATTCATTGTTATCTCCGCCTTTTAATTTCATGCAGTATGTAGTTGACTTGTGAAGGTCCCTGAATTTTGATAGGAAACTTCCTTCCTAGCCGTAGCGGCGTAAAATTTCCCACGGCGCCGGTTTGTTAACTCTGAGTTATACTTTACGGAAGTCCAGCAGTAGACCTTCTGGATCATCTGGTTTATTCGCCATTTCTCCTCTATATTTAATCAAATAGTCAGTGTCCTCTTGATTCGGGGTTATGATCTGCGTTGCGTCTGCGGTGGATCTGTTTGCCCAAAACCTATTTGCCCAAAATTTTGTTTTTGAGGCTAATTGTTTCGACCCAAGCCTTAAAGCGGACTGTAAGGAGGCATGCTAGTATGCGGTTAGTCATCGTGAGCAGGCATTCACCCCCTGTAGTTTCTTTAACTCTTGTGTTTGCAATTCTGACTTCGTTTTTCAGTTTAATTTCTTGAAGTAAGGCAATATAGATTTCGTTTTCCGCTAAAAGTCAGCAATTTTGGGCCCTTTCCCGGATATTCGATTACAATTTAATTGCAAAGTACTTAAGACAGCCTGTGGCTGTGTTTAGAAAACTTTGATTTGAGCGCTGCAAATAATTTTTTCGTAAATCTAGCAACTTTGAACTTATAAATCTAGCTCAGGTAAGACGGCTCTTTTTCCTTTTCCCCCACCAGCGAAATTTAACAAGTAAATTTTGTTCGCATCGGATCGTTACAAAAATTGGTATGCGGACTAATTAGGCTATGACAAACATAATTGGTCTTCATACTTAAACTTGTAAAACCCCTCATTACTACATAAAACTGATGCATATGTGAGGTGCGGGGGGACGGAAAAAGAGCCGGTAAGACCAATACTATTGAACTTCTGAAAAACCAAATGAATTACGTAATTTCATTTGCTGATCTGGCAATATACTGGTACTTTCTAAATTCTAGTTTAAGTGACTTTATGCTGTTATAAATCTGTATATGAACAATGTTTCAAATGCAAAACCCGGTCTGAACATTATAATTAAAAGAGGGAGAAGACTCGCAGGTGGGAGGAGCCGAAACTAGAAACAACTAACCGAGCTCCTGATGAAGAAGTTTGAGGCAGAGAACTTTCCTGTCCTTCGTCGACTCCCTCCGGACCCACCAGGAAGTGGTAGGAGAGCCAGGGGCCATCGCTTCCATACTCTGCCGCGTACTCATCCATAGTCATGTATGGCTCATTTGTTTCCAGCACAAATTGTTCAAACTGCTCTGTGTAGCGACATGGGATAGAAAAGGTTAATGCTTTACCAGTTTTGGGTTCTCGGATACAATTCGGTCTTTTCTCGATGTTGTTGGTCACATACAAGCCCAACATGGGTCGCTGGATGAAACAATTCACCTGGAAAGAAAAAGGAAACAATTTGCGAATTAGACTCTTAAAGCTAGTTTTGTTTATAGGGCTTCTAGTTTTCTTCTGGGCTTATCATGCCGTGAGACATTGTTCAAAGTCAGCCCATCAGTCGCTGACCTCGGCATGACAATTTTAAAATATACTAGCGTGTAACGCACCTCCGGTGCTCTAGTTTTTGACGACTCATAAGAAACGGCATATATTGAAAACAACATCTGCAACCTTTGAGTGTACTCTGACAGCATCCATTTATAAGGTTGGTTATTTAAATTTTAAAATGATTTCTTTTCCATTTTTTTAAAATTAAATTCAAATTTAAAAAACATAAAAACGTCAAAAACCATAAGAATCTCGAAAACTTAGAAAACCTTTAGAGAACTTTGGAGGCCAGATTTGCAAGCACTGAGAGTAACTTGATAGCAATCCTCTCCACTATAGAGTTGGGAATTTTAAATTTAGTGAGTTTTTTAAACGTCATTTTTTCATTAAAAAATGTCATATCTCGGAAACGAATATTTGAGCATTCATATTGGGTGGTAAAATTCGCAACTTCTGAGAGTACCCTCGCAAAAAGGTTGTCGCACTAAAAAGTTGATTCAAAATTTGTGAAGTTTTTAGTAAATTCTTTGAAAAATGAAAAAAGTCCTTATCTTGAGCATTCGCATTTGGACGCAAGTTTTGCAACCCCTGAGAGTGCTCTCACAGTACCCAAACACAAGGCTGAGAACTTCAAATTTTCTTGATATTTAAAATCAAAGTTTTATTTTAAAAAACTTTAAATTATAAAAACAAAAAATTCGGGTAGTCATATTCATATTTGGTGGCAAGATTCGCAACCCCTGAGAGTACCTTGAGAGCGCCACACTAGAGATAGCAACTTCAAATTTAGTGAAAATTTTTATATCTTCAATTATTTAAAAATTTTAAGAAATGTCACATCTCGAAAACTAAAAGCATCTGAGCGGCCGCATTCGGACGCAAGATTTGCAATTCATGAGAGTACCCTCACAGTACTCAGTTAACAGGTTGAGAATTTCAAATTTTTGAACTTTTTTAAATCTTTTGGAAATTTTTGAAAAAATCATGAAAACGTCATTTCTCGAAAAATACAAGGATTTGAGCAGTCAAAAGAGGAGGCGAGATTCGCAACCTCTGAGAGTACCCTCATAGTACCAAACTAAAGGATTGGGAAATTCAAAATTTTGAAACTTTTCCAAATCCGAGTTTTTTTTTTAAATTTTGACAAAATCATCAAAAAATTAAAAACTTCAGATTCGAAACGTACAATGACTTGAAAATTCATGTTTGGAGGCCAGATTCGCAACCTTTTAGAGTACCCTCTCAGAATTTAACTATAGGATTTTAATTTTTTTTTTTCAAATCTGTTTTTTCAAATTTTTGTGAAAAAAACTCATAAAAAAGCGTCATATCTCGACAAGTAAAAAAATTTGAGCATTCATTTCTGGAGGCGAGATTCGCAACCTCACAAATCCCAACTACAAGATGTAGATTTGAATTTTTTTTATTGTTGTTTCTTGAAAATTTTTGAAACAATCATAAAAAACGTCATATCTCGAAGACTACAGTTTTTCAAAATCAAATTTGAGGTAAGATTTGCAACCCCTGAGTAACCTGATACCACCCATTTAGATTTTCTGTATCTCGTAAAGTAAAATGATTTGTTGAATCATAATTTGAGCCCAAATTCCCAAAACCTGGGAAAAATCTGACAGGATCCTATTATTGGGCCTCTAATTTGAACCTTGGTGAAAGGAACACTCACTGGAAAACCGAAAAAGACCATTGCAATATACGATACAGCTAAACGTGAAAAAATTCATGCAAAAATCATTACACTGAAAAAGCTTCAGCGTGGCGAGATAGTAAAGCCCGCAATTGACTATATATACAAAGGCGAAACTTTGCTTCGCAAACACTTGCGAGAGCACGACAAAAAGCAGCTCTAGAAAGCGCAAAAAAAATTTAAAACCCAAGATCTTACTGCTCTTTATTGAATCATTGAGGATTGAAAAGAGGGAAAAGAGTCCCTAATTCGAGGCTTATTACCAAAAAAAATTGGTAATACGCCTCGAATTAGTTTTATAAAAATCGGCTACCTCTGAGATTTCGAACTTGCGGTCAAGAAAAAGAGTCTCACACACTAATCACGCAGCCACGGAAGTTTAATAGGATCTACACATTGGCCGCCGCAAATAAAGCAGATAACAGATGCTTTAAATTTCCAATGCTACAGAGAACTTTCCAATGCTAAAGAGAAATTTCCAAATAAGTGAACAATTTTAATGATTAGGTTGGAAAAAAAAGAAGGTTCGTAATAACACACTATGCTGATCGCGAGCAAAAATACATAGATGGCTAGATAGGGGTAGATTTGGTGTTTTCACCACCTTTGAAAGGCCGTAGAGTTGATATTATGTTAATTGGTGAATAAGGAATCTTTCAAAACAGTCTAACGACTTAAGTTGTTAAACATCAATTCGGAGATTTCGGAGGTGATTCTTTTGTCGCAAAGTTTATTTGAAACTCGTTGACTCATAATGAACTGTGTTCCAATTCTATTACAACTTACAAAATTCTGACAAAAAAAATTGGGAAAGGGTATTTCGGAAAAATCCAAGGGATGGGGATCTTTTTCGTTTTGCACATCCTGTGAAATTTTACTAGGTTCCAAAAATTCGGTTGTCCGATTGTTCCAAAAATTAGTATACGGACTAATTAGGCCGTGGCAAAAACAATAAGTCTTTATTTCATCCTTGATAACCCCTTCCATTAAACCATAAAACTGATGCTCACAAGAGGAGATCCGGGACGGGGATAACCGAAAAGAGTCCCTAAAACTAGTGTTAAATTACCTGTTCTCTGACTTGTTTTTGCCAGAACAGTTGCCAGACGCCCTTGTGAATTTCTGAATCTTCATCTTCATCTACCAGTGACTGCCCCTCATTAGGTGCAGGGAAGCGAGGGAACTTGCTTCCGAGCGGCAATGAGTCTTCTTGATCTGAAAAAATGAGAAAATTCTAGTTTTTATACTTTTTAGCATCTTTCGTTTTAATAAATCAGAAGGTCAGAAATTATCATGGTAACCGAAGTTACTAGACTAGTCCTTCATCGTATCACCCAGTCAATAAAAAATGCAAATTTAAAAATTAGGGATAAGTAAGTATAATGTGAATCAAAGTCAAGAGCTAGACGGTTGGGAATCAAGTCAAACAGATTGAAAAAACTTAACAGCTGCACAGAATAAACGTCAACCATCATAGTAAGCCTTGTAAAAGTACTGGTTACACCATAAAGTTCATGCTAGGGCGAGATGGTGGTGGGTCAAACATTGGTCGAATGCTCTCAAAAAAGTCCAAGAACATTCTATTCTCCCCACATTTATGGTTAAGAATTCAATTTAACGGTGCTTTTATGACCTGAGTACATTTATCACCTGAGTACTCGTTACACCATAAAATTTGCCTAATAGCCTTTGCTAATGATTGGAGATTTTCAATAAATTTTATAATTCATAAGTTTAACCCAAATGTGCTTATTATCCCCAAAACTATCCTCTTTGCAAAAAAATCATTTCATAAACAGTAAATACGTTTGTAAAGTTAGGTCTGTATAAGTCACTAATACTCCCAGTGTTATTATACGGACTCTCATGTACACATATATCGAGGGGGGATCAATTGCAGTTGGAGCGATTTCAAAAGAAAGTAATCCGTTGGATCACTGGAAATAAAACGGGAGTGTACATCAACGAACTACGCTTGCTAAACATTTTACCCCTGCCCATGTTCATCCAGCTAAATAACATCTTACTTCTTGCCAGTCTTGATTCTAATGAACGAAATGAAATAGTGTTAAACAGGCGAACCACACGGGCTAGAAATACAGAAATTTTTGAGACGCGAAAAGTGAGAACGGAAAAAGCGAGAAACGAATTTGTTTTCAGAACCAGTAGGATTGTAAATCGATTAGAACCATATATTCATTTTGATAAACGAATCGGCCTCAAGACAAGAATTTTAAACACGATGTGGAAATTTGTAAACGAGAGATTTTCAGAAATGACAACGTGCACGTGGCAATTATTCTGTGATTGTATCACGTGCAGAAACAAGTGGACATTGTTTTAGAGAAGACGCCGGGACCAAGAATCCCAACAGCAGTGCTGTGAATCCCCAACAACAACAACAACAACATTCGACCAGAATGTGCCAAAATGCAATCTCTGCAGATTTCGAAATTTTAGCAGTGAACCTTCCGAGTTAATGATTTTGAAGGATTAACGACGTTATTCGGATGATCAGCAGAACGGTGAAGGTCAGGATATTCCCGTATTTTAAAATTTTATATTTTCGAAGTGATGACGTAACATTTCTGAGAAACGTCAGAAACGGCCATTTTGGCAAGAGACCTAAATAGAAACAGAACAATATTAGTAGCGATTGCGAGAAGAACAGAAATTGTGGTCAAGAAACGACAACAAATCAAGGAGTTGACAGAGAACGTTCCGAGTTGCAACTATTGTGTCGCTACAATAGTTGCAAGGCCGTTGCGAACAACGGTGAAGGGTGGAAGACAGCCTTCCGGATTACGGAAAAGTCAAGTTTAACGTGCTTGATTCAGTGGATTCAAGAATCCGGAAGGTTTTCGGGACTGAAACTTTTATCCTTTTATATAAACTTTTAGCTTCCTGTCATGTCCTGAGTTGAAATTAATTAACAACTAGATTCATTTTGATAAGGATGAGAAGCTAGGAGTTGGGGGAAAGGGTTGATCCATCTTCGATGGAGATGATGATTTTTATCTACTGAACAAAAACAATAGTAATATAGTAAATAGTAGTAAACCTGTTTTTAGGAGTGACCTCGTGGTCTGGGGATACTGAGACCCAGCCATGAGCTCACTATTTCTGCATGTAATCTAGTTAATTTGAGTGTTTTGACCGAAGCCGAAAGTAGTAACGTTTTTGTCGACCCGATGTTAGAAAAGACCACCGAAAAGTACTGGCTTGGTAGAGACGGTGAAAAGCATATAAAGCTCTGTTTAGACGTTAGCCAGTCGTCTTAGGACTTAGTTTTATTTTCCGTCGATATACACCTTCCGGGCGAATGTTACATACATGTTTTTATGGCGCTCCTGGGTGTTATTCTTTTTTAACATCATGACCGGCAGAACCGTTAACGAGCACTCCGCGCCGAGCGGATGCTCACATTAACGCCCTTAATATGCTTAAGCCGCCGGGGCGGAAGGGTAGTTCGGAACGCGGAAGCCTTCCGGATTACCGTGAATAGCTTTTTAACCTAGTTAAGACCGAAAACTCACGAATCAGGAAGGGTGGGAGGATCGGCCATTCCCTCGTTTCCTGAGAGGTTTGTGACCAAAAACACTTAAAAATATATATAAAACCAAACAAAAAGTAGTATAGTACCGAAGAAAAACAAAAAACATAAAAATAACCGAAAAAACCAAAAACAGTAAAAAAAAGTAAAAAAAAAAATCAGTAGAAATCATCCCACAAGACAAGATGTGATCCGACCCTCCCGTTTGTTGTTGATAGATATATTATTGTTACAGGCCTTTATATCAGTCAGGATTGTTACGATCAGTTTTGTAGCCCGTTTGTGAGGCTTGTACTGTAGGGTTATTTGAGCATTTAAGCACGTTAATGATAAATTGCGCTCAATCCGGAAGGGTCAGCTGATTTGCGCTCAATTCGGAAGGGTCTTGGGAGAAGACTGATCCGGCAAGCAGTACAAGGAGCAACAAGAAGGGTCTCAACGACAACAACAATCGACTGTTGGGTATCGTTAACAAGTTTTGTATCCCTTTTGGTACAAAAAGTAAGATAGTAATCTGTGGGGGGCTCGACAAGGCTGCACTGTAGTGACCCTTCAACGAACTGCGAATATCCGAGTTAAGCACCTTAATTCGGATATTAAACAAACCCGGAGGGATATACTATTACTAATATTATTACTAGTATAGCCTATATTAATACTCTTTTACCGTTTTTCAGTGAAAAATACAGAAAGCAGACCGGTTTTTAGGGTCAAAATAGCGATATTTTGATCCACCCACAAGTCGCGATTTTTGAGATATCGATATTTTTTGAAACGGAAAAAAGCGCTGAGTTAGTGTGTTACATCGTAACTGCACTACCATAATAGATGGAACCGGTTAAGTATAGTTCGAAAGTGGTTGGAACTATTTTGGTACCGAAAACCGAAATTTCGTGATTTTTGAGAAAACGAAACACTATCAATTCAGAAAATTTTTTGAAATTTTTGAGTTAGAACAGTAAAAATAGTTGTTCGGACAACGTCCACTAGTGAATCTACAAGTTTTAAAACCCGCTACCCGAAAGCCTTCCGGGTTGCAGAGAAATCGAACTTAACGTGTTTGATTTGGTGGATTCATCAATCCGGAGGGGTACAGGTAGCATAGTTTTTTGCAAATTTTTTCAAGTAAAGCGTTTTAGATCGGGTCGTTTGCATTGAACTAGAAGAGTATAGGCCTTCTGAGCTCGGATCAATAATTTTTAGGTCGAAAGGACCAGATTTGCGGAAAAAGTTAGGCGGAACCTATAAGAGAGAAATTTCTTGACTTTAGAAAAAAGACGTTTTTGTTGATAACTTTGGAACTACTGGGCATATCTAGTTGATCTTGGTACCAATAGATCAGAAATTAGCCGCGCTTACTGATAAGGACAAAAGTTTTTCGGAAAAGAAAGCGTGAAAATTTTTTGAGATTGTTTTTAACAAATTCCTCAATTTGGAAGGGTACAAGGGTAGAAAAGCCCTTATACCCCTACCAAAAAGTAATAACGATTGAATTAAGCAGCTTAAGACAGTGCTAGACAAAAAGGGAGGGCTAAAGGCAAAAGAAGACCTTAACAGAGCCGAAATTAGGCAAGTGATAAGACCCTTCACCGTTAGTGTGAATTGTCAAATAAGAGGCTTAACCTCAATCCGGAGGGGTCTAGGAAAGGATCATATACCCTTCCCAGTTAATTCAAACAGCATAATAGCATCGCAGAACGTATCCGGAGGGGTATAGGTTGAAAGAAGGAAATCTCCGAAAAGCTACTTTTACAAAACCGGAGGGCTCCGAATCCGGAGGGGTCTTATAGTTGCTAATTCGGAGGGGTCCAAATCCGGAGGGGTCTTATATTAACTAACTCAGAGGGGTCCAAATCCGGAGGGGTCTTATATTAACTAACTCAGAGGGGTCCCAATCCGGAGGGGTCTAGATTTTGTTAGTCCGGAAGGGTCCTATTTGTGCCAATCCGGAGGGGTATTATTTTGTTAAAGGACTTAGGTAGACGGAAGAAAACTGAAGGGAGAGGTATTAGGTTATTAGCAGACAGGCTAGGAATCAGTGACTGCACTGGTAACTTGCCTTTCAATAAGAACCAGACCAAAACAAAACAGGTCCGAACTCGGATATTCGCGACACTAAGTCTAAACTAAAAAGAGCGTAATTCATTGGTGTGGATTGAAACCCAAAACGTTTTTGTGAAAAGTGACTGCCCTGAGGATTTTAGTAGGTCTAGCTCGGGCAGTCCGAAGGCAGATAGGTAACACAGTACTCGGTGGGTTCAATAGACGCCCACTTGAGAAAATTACTGCCTTCAAAGTTTTGTCTGTTTGGTGCAGCACCAAGCAGGGAAAGCTTTTTCTTTAAAGAAACAAGTTCGACTATTGTACCGCGACCAACTAAAAGTACAGGACACATACGTTTTTTTATAGAGATATTCATATTCTGTCATTATATATTTTTTTGTTTTTGATTTTAAATCAACATAAAATGTTCTTGATTGGGTAGTGAGTACACTATCTTTTAAATTGACTGATAACATCATATTGTGCTAGTTTCCAAATCTTACGACCGATAATCAGTTAGTGTGAATAAATTATATACAAACTGTACTCTGATAACGTACAAGGATTCGTGGTCACTATTTTATAGAATCTTGTGAAATTTATTGTGTTGTGTCAATTTATTGGTAATAAAACTATAAGGTCACTAGCAATCAAATTAAGTGTATAGGCATTGGGAAGTGATAGATAGAGAATGAGTCTAGACAAGTCAAGGATACCTAAACGAGGTAATAGCTCTAGGAAATTCATACCTGAGAAGCAAAGAAAAACGATGACCGATCCTTTTGTGGATTGGATCAAACGAGCCCGGACCGACAAAGGGGAGACGGTTTCAGGCAAAATGGTTGAAACAAGGAGTCAGAAGATCTCAGAAGAGCAAAAAGAACTGTTAGAAGTGGAGGTCAATACGGACCATGCCATGAACGACAACCAGGAAGTACATGGACTGGAAGGGAGGGGCAGAAGGCTGGCGAATGAATCTACTCCGGTAGAACAAGGCCATGATTTTGCCACTTCCACCGGGACATTGGATCGAGAGGAGATGTCGGAACTGTCCGACATCTCAACTGAAATAGCGACAACTAGAAGATCTCCAACAGACAACACTTTGATGGCAGGCGGAACTGAGAAACAAACAACGTCATCATCGTTCTCAGAAAGAATGAGGAACACCTTAGGAAACATCTTTCCATTCACCATGGGAGGGGGCGCAGGAAATGAAGGTGAATCCCAGGAGGAGGAGGACGAAGAAGAGCAAGGGGACTTTGGGTCTCAAGTCAGCCTCAATAGTTCGACCCAGGAGAATGAGGCATACGTCGGAAGAGAGACTGGAACCATGGACAAATTTGGTGTGGTGACAACGATAAGCAAAAAGGCAAACACACCGGGCCAGTCGAGAGGCTTCGCGATTATGACAAATTCAGAGCCGCAAACTGGATAGAGTAGAAACAGAGGGTTAGGCAACGCATTGGCGAATCCTGAGGTGGATAATGAAAAGACGTCGAGGCAGAGAGTCAAGGCCAGGATCTCGACCAGCACGAAGCTACCTGGGACCGACAGGGTTACACCACCACTAGTGACGCCACTCGTGGATAACGGGGCAGCACTAGAGGAAGCCTTAAACAACATAGTGGACAGTTTAGGAGAACAAAATGAACAGATGTCCATAAGAATGAGTGAACTAGAAAGAGCAGTTCACATTGAAAGAGAAAGTCTGCGGGAAGAAATAAACCGCAATAGACAAGAAGTTGGCAGGAGCGAAAAACGCTTGAAAGAAAGAACGGACGAGCATATGGCGAAGAACTTGTCGCGAATGACAAGAGAGGCGGAACAGCGAGAGTTACGCTTAAGAGACGACATGGAGAAGTTAAGAATTCAGCAAGAGCAGTCTCTTGGGACTCTTGACACAAAGATAGACGCGATGATGGAGAGGCGAACTCAGGCTATCATGGATAGGTTGGACGGGCTACTAAGCAGCAAGAGTGGACCAAAAGAAGGAGAACCGAACTCGGGAGGTCCCAGCAGGGAACCGAGGGTGAACTTCAATGAACATCAAAAGAGGAAGACGTATGGATCCACTAGAGGCAGGGGCAGTTCATCAGGCTATGCCACAAGGGGTAATGGAGCATGGGGCCCGAACAGTAGAGCAAGTTCAGCGGGGAACAGACAGACCTCTAACGAACGACCATCGCGAGGCACACATGCGACTGGGAGAAGTGATTCCGGTAACAGGGGGCATGCAAGCCCGAGGAGGGGTCATGTGGGCCAAGCGGGAAACACTCACGGCGATTCGGATTGCAGGGATGCACCGCATACAGAGCCTTTGACGAGGTGTGAGGACACTCAGGCGGGACACTCAAGGGATGCTACGGCAATGGCCACAGTATTTGAACCCCTAAACAGGTCTTTGGAGACAATCCTTACAAGGTTATCCAGAAACAATGAACGCAGTGAGAAGTCCAGAAGAGTCTTTAAGAAACCAAGATGCTATAAAGACGAATCTGATGGCTGTATTGATACCTGGATAGAGGTAATGAAGCTGCATTTCGAGGAAGAGGACTTGTCGGAGAGACAGGAATGCAGTGCGCTCACCAGCAACTTGGAAGGGACAGCCCTGAACTGTGTCATGGCCAAGAAGCAATATCAGCGTGACACAGCTGAGAAAATCTTCGAGATCTTGTTAAACCGTTTCGGATCAGGGGTGCAGGGGCACCAAGCGATGATGCGCTTTGAGAAACGGAGGCAACGAGAAGATGAAACAATAGACAAGTTTCTCGATGACTTGGAAATGCTGAGAAGACGCAGCCAACCGGATGAGTCAAACCGAAGGATGAACCTGGCCGTAGCCTCAAAATTCATCGATGGTGCGAAGAATGATGAACTTCGAACGATGCTAGCAACGCATTACACACCACTATCAACCAATGCGCCAACACCAGAGGAGTTGAGGCTCAAGTCAAAAGAGTATCTTTTGTTGAAACCTCCTTCAAGATCTGGATACTACAAGAACAATTATGGCAATTTTAACAACGGACCAGCAAACCAAGGGAACCACTGGTACAAACCGAGGGATGATATGGACAAGAGACGCTCTTGTGCCAATTGCAGTTCAACGGACCATCACGTGTCAGCATGCCCAACTTACAAACAAGGCATGAAAGCAATAGGGTTTAGCCTCGAGGACGAAGATGCGTCAGAAGTTGACCATGAGGATTTCATGAGAGGAGTAATTGCAAAATTCGGCCCGAGGTGTTTCTTTTGCAACTTGGAAGGTCATTTTAAATCAGATTGTCCACAATTCTGGGATGCAGTGGCAGACATCAAGCATCCAAGGCATGAGGAAGCTTTATCAGGAGTGAAAGCCAGCAAGGCTCGCCTGTTGAGTGAAGCGGAGGCGCGCAGAAAAGACAAACCGCAAGAGCTGGCGACGAAGAAAATGCAAGCGGTAACTGAAGAGACATGTGAACCAGAACCAGTGACTGCGGCCGATGACTTCAAGATTGATTATAGGGCAGCCGCAAGGGATGCTCTAAATAGAGTGCAGCAGGAACTGGTGACGAAAGAGATCGAACAGAAAGTGAAACTTGAACTGGAGAATGAGAAACTTCGGGAGCAACTAAATACCTTCGAAGCAACGGAGTTCGAAGAAGCTAAAGCACCAAGCAGTTTGAGCATGAAACTTAATGTGATCTCCGGTCAGAGGTTCGGCATGGTGCCGCAAGGAAGCGAGATACAGTCAATAATCTCAGTGGCTGGACACCAGGTGATCAGAAATCTGAGTGA